CAGTGAATGTTCACTGAATGAGCAAAGGAATGAATGAAGTGCCCAGAGGCAGGCAAGACAGCACTGCTATCCACATGTGACAGATGACAAAGCTAAAGCCTCGCTGCCCAAGGCCACAGGCCAGGACTCTGGACCCTATGACCTCAGGCCAACCTAGGCACCTCCTGGAAATCTTCCCCAGAGCCTCCAGCCATCTCTGACCTTTCCCTTCTCTGATCTACCCCACCTGGAGGTCCAGACCCTGACTACTTGGCGTCATATTCTTTGGGAGTCTGTTCCCTGAGGACAGCTCTGGACTACTTCTTCCAGCTGACCCCACACCAAGTCAGAGCAAGAGCCAGCCAGGACAGGGTTCTCAGGGCCTCAGCCTGGAATGAGGAGCCCCATCTAGGGACCTCTCTGACGGCACAGCCTTACCCCTCCATCCTTACTCCATGTCTAGCAGTGCAGATGTCCTTACCATGACTAATCTAATACCAGGACAGCCTCTACAAACCACCTCCCAGCAACTTCCTGTAGAGATAGATAAACTGAGCCCCAGAGGGGACAGAGGCCCAGACTGAACCTGAACTCACTGAATTCAAACCCCTAAAACCCAGTTAACTCCTGCCTCTGCCACCACAGTTAGGAAGATTGACTTGAAAAGGTGAAGTGACCCCTAAGGTCACACAGTTAGAATCAGGTGTTTGCCCAGCTGGGTTCCCTCCAGGGTGCCCTTCCACAGTGACACAGCACAAGGAGACCCAAGCCAGGAGAGGGGAGAAGATTCTGAGACACAGAGTCCTGGGGATGGAAGGGCCCAGTGCTAATAAGCAGGCCCAAGGGAGTAAAGAGATTTCAGTCTTGGAGTCCCAAAGACCTGGATTCTGATCCTGCCTCAGCCACCTTCTAGCTGTTTGACTGCACAAGTGAATTCTGCCCTGAACTTTGGCTTCCACATTTGTTCAAGGCAGTTAACAAGACCCACACCACAGGGCAGTTGTGAAGATTCAGTGAGAAGGCATGAAGAAAACACCTGGTCCTGTTGACTGTCCCCACCTTCCTCATGACCCTTTTGAGTCCCACGGACTGTTAAGAGTGAGAAGAACCTCTGGAGATCCTTGAGATGATCCCAAATTTCACAGAGGGAGAGAATGAGGTGCTAAGAGGGGGCAGGCCTGAGCATTGGCTTCAGAGCTTGGAACCCAGGGGACCTGTGATGTGGAAGCAGGTGGACAGTGAGACAGGTCAGGGAGGGGTGGGTCACTGAAGCTTTCTCCAAAGGGGAAGAAAAGTTGTAGGACAGGAAGTCAGAGGAGATAGGTCCCCACCGCCCAGCTTCCTGTGGCAAGAGGAAACTCAGGTTCTCAGCTGCTCTCCCACAGGAGACCTCGCACCCATACTCCAGCCGCCAAGCCCCTCAATGCCCCTGGCCACTGGGCCCACTCCTGCCTCTTTGGTCTGCCTGAGAATACCTGACTCATGCATTGGGCAGGGGGTTGCCTGAAATTGTCAGTCTTCCTTCCACCAGGGTCTGGACACCTCTGAGGACAGGGGCAAGGTCTCCTCTGCCTCTCACACAGCTCAGCACACAGCAGCATCAGAGAGCCCAAGCACAGGAGCATCCAGGGCAGGGCTGGGCAGCCCATGTCATCTCCTGCTTCCTGTTCCCCATGCCCCATGCCTCTCCATGGGCCCCAGCACAGGCACTGAGTTCAGAGGTCATGGAGCCTGGAGAGCCCCATGGCACGGAGAAATAGCCCAGAGTCATACACACACAGAAAGAGGTTACCAGAGCTGTGACTAGACCCCAGCCTCTTCCCCAGCTGGCCCTGCTTGAAGGAGTGCAGACACCCTGGCTTCCCATTTCTCTGCCACTACAGGAACCATGGAGAAGCCTAGCCTGTGCATTGAGAGACCTGAGTTCAGGTTCCAAGCCGCTCTCCGTTTGGCACCCAGGATCCGTGTTCAGTGTCTGCCTCTGGGACAAGGCTTGACCTCTCAGGAGGCAGTGTCAGCCTCCTCTCCAGTGCCCCAGGCATAGTGCAGGCCAGGGACCAAACCAGGCTGGAGGCCAGGAGGGAGGGAGAGGTTAGAGGCGGCCTCCAGCAGCCCTGTGCCTTTGTCCTGGCTCCAAATGCTAGGCCAGAGCCACAGTGGCTTCCAGGAACCTCTGGATATAGGGACAGGGAGAAGGTAAGTCTGGGGGAAGGGGTTGAGGCAGAGGAAATAAATCAGGTAGGCAGATTGGTGAACCTTCTCCCCCACCCTGGGATCACGCCCACAGGGCAAATCCAGGGACAGCTGGCTTTCCCAGCTCAGGGGCGGGCCCAGAATGCCTCATCATGGGGGGGAGGGGGAAGCTCAACAAACACCTGTGGTTGAGACCCAGCCTCCTGGAGTGACCCAGTCATCCCTGGGGACTCTGGTTTCAGACCTGCTGTGTGACCTTGGCAAGCCACTCCCCTTTTTGGGCCTCAGCTTTCTCATTTATCAAACAAGAATGGGATGATGAGAACACTGAGTCCTTCAAAGAGTTATTGATGGATTCAAAGGTCACAATGTTGACTAAGATGTGAGCCCAAGTGAAGAGGGACAGGCACTCTGGAGCCAGGATGGCCTGGGTTCCACTCCTGCCTCAGCTGCTGTGTGACCTTAAACAAGTGATATCACCTCTCTCAGCCTCAGTTTCTTTCTTTGTAGCATGGAAACAAGCCTACTACTGCTGAAGACTGGTCTAAGGGTAAATCAGATGATGGAGAGAAATGCTTGACTCAGAGCAGGGACTCTTATCAGAAATGAGATTCCTAGAATCTTGGGGATGGGGAGCTCAGAGACTTCTGCCCATCCCCCAGAGTTCCACCTGGCTGTGCTGAGGGGATCAGAGATCTCGAGATGCCCATAACCAAGGCCCCAGCCTTCTCCTTAGGCCCCAGCTCAGCTCAGCTCACCTCCTGCCTCCAGCCTCCATCCACTGTGGGGAGCAGAACAGAGAGGACTAGGCAGGAAGGCTGGAGATCTGGGTTCTAAATCTGGCTCTGCTGGGACTTGGCTGTGTGACTCTGGGCTAGCCCCTGCTCCTCTCTGGATCTCAGAGTCCATATCTGCACTCCAGTGAAACTGGAACTGCAAAGGTACCTGTAATCTCTGCTCAGTCTGAGAGGGAAGGAAGGGCAGGGTCCTGGCTGCCTAGGAGGGTGACAACAAGCCCACAATACCCTGGGTTTTCCAAGTCCCCTCCACTCCCAAGGAAGGCCACCTGACAAATCTGATCTGGTCCCTTGTGGCTATCTGGCCCCTAAACCCACCAAATCCAGTCCTGGACTGGGCTGGGTTTATTCATTAACCAAGCCAGATAGAGGTGGCAGCTCCGCCCTGTTGACACAGAGGGTGGGAGTACTGGTCTCAGTTCAGGTCTTCCCCTTCCCTCCTTTCTGGAGACCCAGCTCGGTGGGAGAACTACATTTCCCCATCCCACTGCACAGCCCAGCCTTGAGCCTTTCCCAGGTTACAGTCAGGAAAACAACCTTGTTCTCACAACAACCTAGCTCACTTTTTTCATTTGATTTGTTTCTTCTTTCCTTCCTTCCATCCTTCATTCAACCAACATCCCTGGTCTGTGTTGGAGGCTGGCAAAGGATAGGACCTGTCCCTGCCCTCAGAGAGCCAAGCTGGGACACACCAGCTGCCCTTCTTTTTCCTGCTCCAGAGGTTCAGACATAGGTCAGACCCAAGGACACCCCCAGCCCAGGGTTCTTAGGCCTGAGCAGAGAGTCCCAGAGTGGAAGATGCACATGCCCAGAGAGAAAGACAGCCAGATAGCCAGGGTGCTGACAGAGTCAAAGAAGGGAGAAGGGAAAATAGAAAGGGTGAGCCAAAAGGCCGCCCAGGGATAGATGGACAAAGCTCTAAATGACTGAGATAAAGTGAGGCAGAAAGGCACAGACAGGGTCAGAGACAGAAGGTCAAACATCTCTGGTCCTGGTGTGTGGCCATGATGCCAGAGCTAAGTCAAGTCCAAGAGCAGGTCCCAGGCAGGAAGGCCTGGAGAGGGGGAAGGTAGGAGTGCCCTCTGAGTCCATTGCCCTGCCCATCCCCCAGCCTTGCCACAGGAATACACTCTTCCACATGTTTGAGAAGGATAGCAGGAAGGGGGAGGCAAGGGAAAGGGAGACCTGCCCCCTTGAAAAGGGACCCTCGCAGCAATGCCAGACGTGTTGTGTTGGAGGCAGCTACTGAGGCTTCTAATCGGTCTTCACCAGCCTATTCCCCATCTAGTTCCCCAGGGGAGGCAGGCTCAAGGGGTCCCAAACACCAAGCTGGCCATGCCATGGCAATGAGAAGAAAGTCACGGGGCTATGAGGAGTGGGGTTGATGCTCTGAGGGGGGCTGATGTGCCTGCATCTGCTAACCTCCCTTGGTCCCCTCCTCCCCACGCTCAGCCTGGCCCTGTGTAAGGGGCCCTGCCTTTGGGGTCTGCCAGCCATGATCCTGAGTCCCTGCAAGAGAGACTCAGGAAACCGCTGGGGAGGGAAGAGGGAAGAGCAGCACATCAAGCAGGAAAGAATCAGGTCCCTGGCACCCAAGGGTGCAGAGAGTGGGGGAAGAGACCTAGCTCAGGCTAAGAGAACCAGGAATTAGAGAGAGAAGGGCTCAGTCTCCCACCTGAGATGACTCCAGTCAGAAACCGGCGAAGTCTTCCATGGACAGAGAGCTCCCTGAGGGAGACCCCTCCCCTAGGTGAGCCTGGCAGCAGCCCACCTACCCAGAGCAGGCAGGGGCATGCAGAAGCCTGGGTTCTGGGTAGGTGAGCCAGAGTGAGTCACACCCCCTCTCCAGGCCTCATTTGGCCCATCTGTGTGATGGGGGTTTGCACAGCAAACTGTGCCTCCTTCTGGTTTCTGGCAAAAGACTCTGAGGTGCACAACCAGGTGCCCTATCCCTGCAGGAGGACCAGGAGACTCCCTGTCAGAGGCAGCAAGCGCACAGTGCAGGCTGCAGGTGCCACAGGACAACCCTACCTTGATCTTGTGCAGGGTCCGATCCATCTCCATAGCTTGTACCCACACAGACACTCCGGCCTTGCTGTAGGTCAGGTTCCAGCCTGCCTCGGCCTCACACTCTGACCGGAAGCTGCGGAAGTCCTGGTCGTCGGGCACCTGGACGCTGTCGCGGCCCAGGACTGGCCGAGGCCCCTGGGGTTCTGTTGAGGCGGCTGACTTCTCCATGGGGAGGCCCAGGGCCCTGGTTCTAGTTCGGCTCTCCTGGGTCCTCCACGGAGGCTCCAATAACGTCGATGCGGCTGCAGATGCTGACGCCACCTTCCAGGGACCTGCAAGACCGGTTTGGGAACCAGAGTCAGTGCGCTGGGGGCGCGGGTGTGACTGTCCGGGGTCCTGGAGGGTATTGAGTTCGAGATAGGCAGGGGCTAGTTCCCAGGTGAGCACGCACCAGCCAGCACAGGACAGTCACGAGGACCACCCCCCAGGAAAGACCCCGGACCTCCGGTTTGGGGGCCGGAGTAGGGGCTGCGTATCGGGTAGAGGGAGCCTGTCGGGACCTGAGGGAGGCCGAGACCCGAGGTGACGGACGGTCCGGCTGGGCCCGCGCAGCGCTGGCCGGACCGGCTCAACTAACTCCGCAGCAGAGC